TGCCGGCTCTGTCCCCCACCTGCGTGCCGGCTCTGTCCCCACCCTGCGTGCCGGCTCTGTCCCCCACCTGCGTGCCGGCTCTGTCCCCACCCTGCGTGCCGGCTCTGTCCCCCACCTGCGTGCCGGCTCTGTCCCCACCCTGCGTGCCGGCTCTGTCCCCCACCTGCGTGCCGGCTCTGTCCCCACCCTGCGTGCCGGCTCTGTCCCCCACCTGCGTGCCGGCTCTGTCCCCACCCTGCGTGCTGGCTCTGTCCCCCACCAGGTAGAGGCCCAGCAGTGCAGTCTGTCCCAAGGCCTCAGGGCTGCCCCCCTCAGATGCCCAGGGAGTCACTCACTGCCACATGCATCTAAGTCCCACTGTGCCCTGTGCCCTGTGCCCACGCCCTGGTGGCAGGTCCGATGGTGGGCGGCTGCGTACAGGCCTCAGCTGTGTCCTGGGCGTGCGGGCTGGTCCTCCACACTCCAGGGCCCCCCTTGCAAAACAATGCAGACCTGCTGGGGACCCCCCTCCCCCCACCCGCTTCAGGAAGGCAGGGCGGCGGGCTCTGCTCAGGGCTCCCCGCTCTGAACAGGTCTGCGCGGGGACCGGCTGGCTGACCCGCTCTCTGACCCGCTCCTCTCTGCCTGCAGATCTTTCAGAAACCCCTGATGGAGGCTGAGCTGCTCACAGAGAAAGAGGGCGCTATGACTTTTGTTAACTGGAAGGAGCTGATTATGTGTAACATCAAGCTGCTGAAGTAAGCCTCCTAACCCCGCCCGCCTCCCTTGCCGGCTCCGCACGCTGCGCGTCCGTCCGTCCGTGTGTCCGTCCTGCACCGCCATGCATGTGCCGCTTCCTCCTGCCTTGTGCTCACCTCCACGCGCCAGCACCGTCGCTCTTGCTGGCTCTCACGCTTTCCAGACACGCCCCCCCCTTTCCAGGGCACAGGGTCTTCACTGACTGTGGGTCACCCGGCTCTGCTGGCTGCTGGCTGCATCCGGGCGTGGGGTCCCCACACGCCCTCCTCGGACCCGTTCCCACAGGCGAATGTCGGGACATTCCGGGCCCCCGCAGGTGGAGACGGTGGCCCTGGCCTGAGACCCGGCCCGAGCACTGCTGACTTTTTATTCCCAGGCGGTTCTCAGAGGCAGTGGCCAGGGGTAGGAGACCTGCGGCTGGAGCCCGACTCACTGCACTTTGAGCCTCGGTTTCCCCACCTGTACAAAGAGGGGATTGGGTTACATCCTCACCAAGCTCCCTGCCGGGCCCTCACGTGGCACACTGGCTGGGACCCGGGCGGCCATAATTATGCTCCTGCCTCTTTGACCTCCTTTTTTTTTTAATGTGCCTTTTTCTGTTTATTTTTTTTCCTTCTGTCTACCAATCTTTGGATGATTCCTTCTCTGTGTCGTGTTCTGTACACTCGCCCAGTGCACCCTCATCCAAGCTTCAGCTCATCCTTGGGCCCTGTGCTCTAATTTGTATAATTTGAACACGGAGCTCTTAGAGAGCAGCTAGTGCTTCCCCTAACTTTCTAGATGACGTAATTGGGTCTCAGAGAGGGCACGTGATTTGTATGCTTGTGTTGGTAGCACAACAACAACAAAATGCTTCGAATTTGTATTTTTATTAAATCTGTCATTAAAATGTTATTATCTGTATAGCCCCTAATATTTTATGTTACCTTCCTTAAGGAATTAACAAGATGTGCTTTAGCCATAAAGTATTAAAAGGATTACAAAACGTATTTTTACACTGTAAAACATTTTTTAAGACAGTGACTTGTTAAGTGAGTTACTGAGAAGGCTACCTTGTGAATAAATCATGGTGAGAGAGTATTTCCCGGAAGAATAGCTGCCATTTTAAGTCATTTCTCTGCAGCAGCGATTTTCAACCGATGTGCATGCCGCAAGTATTTTTAAAACGTGCAGTGCCTGACTCTTTAGTCAGGGGCGCTGACCTCTTTTCCCTCAGATTGTCAAAGAAAAAGATGACAATAGCCCGGCTGGTGAGGCTCAGTGGTTGAGCGTTGACCTTTGAACCAGAAGGTCAGGGCTTCGATTCCCGGTCAGGGCATCTGCCCCTGTTGCCGGCTTGATCCCAGTTGGGGACCTGCAGGAGGCAGCCGATCAATGATTCTCTTTCATCATTGATTTTTTCTCTCTCTCTCTGAAATCAGTAAAAACATGATTTTATTTTTTTTTTAAAAAAAACACAACAATAGCCATCCAGTGTGAATCAAAATTATACCTTTTTATTTTGTCAGATTGGCAAACATATACTTTTTGGTGTGTCCCAGGGTTCCGGTAATTAGTCCATGTGCCCGGAGGGGAGAGGAAGGCTGGAAACCCTGCTCAGAGGAAAGACACAGAATCGAGACGACCCAGGGGCTGGGCTTCAGGGGAAGAACCTCCATCCCCTCCCTGAGGAGGGGCCTGTGGAGGGGAGGGGCTCGCAGACTGCTATTCCCGCCGCCTGTGTCCCTGAGCAAGTCACTCCACTCCCTGGGCCTCCGTGTCCCCACCTGTAAGGAGGGACGACAGTGACACCCACACGCAGTGTTCTTATTGGGGCGCCTGGTGGATAGTCAGTGCTGGGCTTCGGCCCTTGGCGGGCGCTGCCTTCTCGCCTGGCGCAAGGGGGTGAGGTGACCCCGGAACCTACCAGTCCTGAGCCTGGAGGGTTGAGACAAGCTGTTCACAATAGACTCAGAGGGTTTCTTGGGAAAACAGACCTGCAGGTTAAAGAGCCTTTTGCTTGGACAGCTCTCCGTGGGGGTGTGGAGGGGGTGGGCGTGTCCCCAAGGGGTTGGCCCACAGAGGCGGGGCTGGAGTGGCTCCCCAGGCCTTTCTGTGTCTTCTCTCCCTCCACTCATCCACCCGCCCACCCATCCATCCACCCATCCATCCACCTACCCATCCATCCACACCCATCCATCCATGCATCCATCCATCCATCCATCTACCTACCCATCCACCCACCCATCTATCCATCCATCCATCCCCTACCCATCCATCCACCCACCTACCTATCCATCCACCCATCCATCCACCTACCCATCCATCCACACCCATCCATCCATGCATCCATCCATCCATCCATCTACCTACCCATCCACCCACCCATCTATCCATCCATCCATCCATCCATCCATCCATCCATCCATCCATCCATCCATCCATCCATCCATCCATCCATCCATCCATCCATCCATCCATCCATCCATCCATCCATCCATCCATCCATCCATCCATCCATCCATCCATCCATCCATCCATCCATCCATCCATCCATCTATCCACCCATCCATCCATCCACCTACCCATCCATCCACCCACCTACCTATCCATCCATCCATCCATTCACCACCCTTTCATTTATCCACCCATTCATTCATCCTCTCATCCATCATACATCTTCCATCTCTCCATCCATCCATGAGTACCTATATGTTAAGCATTTTTTTTAGGTACCAGGGCTTCAGCAATACAAAACAAATAAACAAACAAGAAAACAGTCCCTACCCTCCTTGAGTTTTCCATCTTTCTGGGCAAGACAAACGAGGTTAACGTGTAAGACAACAACGTTGGAGTTCAAAGGACATGAGCCTCCCGCGAATAACAGAGATAAAGTTAGACGGTGGTAACTCCGGTGGTGGCTGAGGGCGCAAGTGGACTGTTTCCCAATAAAGGGCCGCCCTGAGCTGGCATCAGCAGGCGACTCAGTCCACACCCCCCCAGGGGTGAAAGGTGTCTTCAAATGGATGTGTAAGGCAGGACTGGCCACAGTCTACCTCTTGAATGACCTCGACCAGGCCTTGAGGCCCAGTGGCCGTGTCTGTCACCAGGACGCAGACAGAATGAGTCACCGCCGGCCCGCAATCCGCCAGCCTGGGGGCGGGGCTCACCAGGCTCCTTCTTCCCTTCCGTGGCTGCACAAATCAATAAAAGATTAGACGCGGCGCGTGTCATTGCCACTGATTGATTTCGAAATTTCAAAGGATGTTAATTTTAAGACGGCAGCGTTGGGGACATTTCATTAGATCCCATTAGGACATTGAGAGCATCAAGTATTTTAATCTGGGGACTGAATTATTTAGGGTCTGACCATTGACAGGCCTCATGAAATATGCGTCCTCCTGCTTTGGGGGCTCCATATCTGGCCATGGGCATTTTTCATCATCAGAGAGAGAGCCCGTCTATGAGGGCCATTAAAGTGTTCTATTACTGATGATCTATAAAGGGAAAGCACACCGATCAGACCCTACCGGGCACCCGGCACGTCGGGGGTATCATCAATCTTTATGGCCTGTTCCCAAATCGCAGGGCTGTTAAAATCAAACTTCCAGTTTGGGGGGAGAGAGAGAACTTCATTCTCGGTGATGGCTAACGAGTGGGGATATTGAAGTCTTGCTGGCTGGACCTCAGAGTTGTGCCGCATGGTCTCTGAGACGCAGGTTGTTTCATTTCATAGCAGGTTGTCCCCTTGGCCAAACCGCTGTCCTCCTGGCTGGTGTCACGGTCTCTTTGGAACAGGCTCTGTGTGTCTTTATTCCTGCTCACAGCTCCTTCGTGAGCAGAACCTGGGAACCAGAGCCTTGGTCGTTTTTCAAAATGCTGACACGCCGAACTCAAAAGGTTCGCCATCACTGCACTAGACTCCTGTCTTTCTCTGTCCCTGTCCCCACATAGGCCCTTTAGTGGCCCTTGGGCTCCTGTCCCTCACACGCGTCCCGTTTCTGTCCGGGCGGACAGCGCGAGGGCGGGTCTCACCTGCCGTGTCTCCACGCAGAGCGCTGAGAGTTCGCAAGAAGATGTCGGGGGAGAGGATGCCGGTGAAGATGATCGGGGACATCCTGACGGCCCAGCTGCCGCACATGCAGCCCTACATCCGCTTCTGCAGCTGCCAGCTCAACGGGGCGGCCCTCATCCAGCAGAAGACGGACGAGGCCCCCGACTTCAAGGACTTCGTCAAGGTCAGGAGCCGGGCTGGGTGGGACCCTGCCCCCAGCGGCCGACCTGGGCCACTGGGTGTGTCCGGGGCTAATTCAAGGCAAAGCTCTGCTAAAGGAGCTGCTGTCCAGTTGCCCGTGGTGTTTGGATTCAGGTTGAAGTTCCCCGTCTCATTCTCAGGCCCTGGAGGGCGGGCAGGGCCCAGGTTTCCTGCTCTGGTTCATCCGGGCGCCTCCGCTCTTTGTTTGCCAGGGCCTCTGCCTCGGGGGGAGCAGGGGTCTGGAGACCTGTGCGTCCTCGAGGGGATGTGGGGAGGTGCTGCTGGGGGCCCAGGCCCTGTGTCTGCGGATGGGGAGTAGGCTGTGGCCCGGGGGGTCCCTGCTGGGCATGTCAGCCTCACCACCTCTCCCAGAGGAAATAAAAAAAGAAGGGGATAAATAACGTCTGTTAAACGGGCAGGTTTTGCTGAATGGAGAACATGCTGATGATGACTCGCTGTCTTTGCACCGATGCCCGGGGGCAGGCGTCCCTCCTCCCAGCGATGTGTCTGAGGCCCCTCCCTGCCGGCTCTCCTCGGCCACAGCATCGCATGTGTTTGTGGGTCCTTCCCTCGGAGTTTCTCTACATTAAAGGCTGCTGTTTGCTGCCAGTGCGTGGGGCGCTGTGAAGTCAGTCCCAGGGGAGCAGTCGGTCTGGGGCTGCAGAGCAGGGCTGGGCTGCCGGGTGGGCGCCATGGCGGGTCCTCCAGGCACAGGCTGGAGGAGCTCACCCCCATGCCCTTGACCTTCAGGGAGATGCTGACACCGGCCCAGGGCCCAGGGACGGGGCTGGTTGCCCCTCCTCGCCTCTCCTCCTCCCCCCCAGAAGCTCTCCAGCCTCACCCCTGGGGGTGTGACAGGCCTTTGCTGCTGGAAGAATGGTGTCTGCCGCCGGTGCAGCGCCCACAGTCCCCAGCGGGGCGGTCATGGTTATGCTGATGCCCTGAGAGCCATCACTGCCCACCCCCCAT